ATCAAGGTACTCTCGAAAAATGTCATTCATCATATGTTGAAAGACCGCTGGAGCATTGATAAGACCAAAGGGCATGACATTATACTCAAAATGGCCATACCTTGTACGGAACGCTATCTTCCACTCATCTCCTTCCTTGATTCGTACGAGGTTGTAAGCTCCCCTTAGATCAATTTTTGTAAAGATCCTTGCATGTCCAAGTTGTTCTAAGAGACCAAAAATCAAGGATAACGGATAACGATTCTTCTTTGTTACCTTGTTGACGCCTCGATAGTCCACGCACATCTGCAACGAGCCATCTTTCTTCTTCACAAATAAGATGGGTGCTCCAACTGATGATTTTGAATGACGGATGAAGTTCTTCACTAGATTCTCATCGATGTACTTTCGCAACTCTGCCAACTCCATCTGCGATAGATTGTAGATTGGGCCAAAAGGCGGTTGTGCTCCTTCCTGCAAGTCTATGGCGTAATCATATGGTCGGTGTTCCGGTAGCATGTCGGCATTCTTCTTTTGAAACACATCTTTAAAATCCTTATATTACTCCGGTATACTTGCTGTCGAGATCTTCTCTCCGATAGTTGGAGTCGCATAAATGACAAATGGTGTGCCTTCCTTAGGCGATCTTATAAATACTCTTGCTCCAATGAATAAGGATTTCTCTATTCAGGGTTTTCTACTAGGCTTGCTCTTGGGTGGTTTTGTGGGAAAGGTCATCTTCCACAACCTCCAATCTATGGATGGGTTATGCTTTTTCAACCAGGAAAGTCCAAGAATAATAGGATTTGATGGGATTCTAATAATATTGAAAATAATATGACTACTATGGCCCTTAAACGTCACTTCTATAGGTTATGATTCATGGGTGACACTACTAGACAATAAAGGTCGTCCATCTATGACCTCAGCGTGAACAAGTTTGGATTTTTGTATTAAAGGGATCTTATGACGCTTCACAAATTCTTTGTCTAAGAAATAAGCAGATGCTCCTGAATCTAATAATACTAAGATTCTCAGTTTTTGAGGGCCAATAAGTAAAAGGATTGTAAAGCAAAGGGCAGGTTGAGCGGAAAGAAAGGAACCTGGTTGTTGTTGCGATATTTCATTGTCCAATCGCACGGTTCCTATTGTGGCTGGGCATCCTCGTTTTCCTGAACAAACGTGCCCCTAGTCCTGACAATACGTCGATTTTGCTTCTTGGGATAGTTTCCAACTTTGTGGCCTTCTTCACCGCAATACAAGCATAGACCTTCCTCCATACGCCGCTTTTTTTCTTCTTGGATAAGAGATTTGATACGTACCGTATCAATTTACATGTCTTCTACCTCTGAATGTGAATTCACGCTACTTACCGACATAGTTGGGGCGTAGCGAATCGTATGTTGTCTTGAACATTGGTCTTGGCAGCATTGGAATAGGCGATTATCACACTTCACAGCTTGGCTAATAGCCTCGTTGAGCATTTATGGATCAGGAAGAATTAATAGCAAATCTTTCACATCATCCCTTAAACTCCAATAGAATTGATTCATCAACGCTTCTTCATCCCAATTGATGTCGCATGCTAATTGCCTGAAGTCCGATGCATAGACTGATGTAGAGCGCATTCCTTGTCGTAGTGATTGGATCTTTATTGTAGCCCATCGACCTTGTCATGTTCACCAAATGCTTTCGCAAACGCCTCTAAAAAGGTTTCAAAGTTGTTTAGTATGGACGATCGTTTCTCAAACAAAGGAGCAAACCATGATAGAGCTTGTCCTGTAAGTAAGGTTCCAACAAGCCCAATATGTGATTCCTCCGTTGGATAGCGTTTGGGTTGTAAAATTGTTATCAACCTAATTTGATTGATGAATCCTCAAAACTTAGAACGCGTACCATCGAACTTATCTAGAAGGCTAACTTGGGGCTCCTTATATTGTAGAACCAGCGGTGCTTGTCAAACCTGAGGCAAAGTTGCTTCTCTAAGTACAAAAGTTTGAGGCTGGTGCAACTTAGATTGTGCCATCCTAGATGTTCCATCATTAAGAAGCCTTGCCACGACTCCTTCAATCTCTGCAGTTCTTTGCGATAACGTAGCGAGGGCATTCATGATAGCATCCAACTTGGACTCCGAACTTTCCGTCATACTAATGTCTTGGCCTCCGGCCATTCTAAGAGAAGGACAGAAATGACTCTGCAAGAAGACAATATTGGTTTAGAAGAGGGTACTCTGCAACCTCTAAAATGTCTTAAGAGCTTCAAAAAAAGGGATAATCCACTCTCTCCAAGAAGAATAAGACTCCAATATTGTAACAAAAGAAATATCAGTTTAGAGGAGGATAATCCGCAACCTCTAAAATGCTAGTACACTTCTAAGTAGAGGGGTAATCCACAATCTAACGAGGAAGAAACTAACTCTGATATCTGAGGTGAGTGAAGTCTCGACAAACTATCACGGACACAGAAATACAGACTCGAGATCTAACAAGAAGTTCAAGAAGAACTGAAAAGAACTAGATTAATTAAATGAATACAAGAATAACACCAGAGAGATGAGCTAGAGCTCCAAGAGATGTGTTGTCAAGACTAAAGAAAACTTCAACCTCGATTCCAATATATACTCCTATTTAGGAAGCTTCTCAAGCAACTTCTATCAACTAAGAAGCTTCTAGAAGGTTCCAGAGATTTGCTTCTAAAAGGTTCTAGAAACTTATCTCTAGAAGGTTCTAAGGACTATGTCCCTAACATCTTCTACCAACTAAGAAGCTTCTAGAAGGTTCCAGAGACTTGTTTCTAGAAGGTTCTAGAAACTTGTCTCTAGAAGGTTCTAAGGACTATGTCCCTAACACAAGCACATCATTTGTATCCAAATTATCTATTTTACAATGTTGCATATTTATTAACATGGAAGTTTCATCAAATGTCACATCTCTATTTATCAAAATAATACTTTTTACTTGGATCTCACATCTTGTATTCTTTTACAAAATTTTCATAACCTAAAAAGATGCAATTCTTAGCCTTAGGATCCAACTTAGATCTCTTTTCTAATTACATATGGACATATATTAGGCATCCAAAAACATTAAGTATCAAATAGTTTGTAAGATTATTTCTTTAAATTTGCTATGATGTCTTATAATCAATAATTGTAGAAGGAGAAAATTATATTAATAAGTTTTTAATATTTATAATATTTTTTTAAAGAATCTTTTTTGATCTTGCACTATTTAACAAACTTTTGAGCTTTCTTTAGCAAGGTTCTATTCATCTGATCTACTACTTTATTTTATTTAAGAAGATCTAAATTAGTAAAGTGATAAATTGTCCCTTCTACCTTGTAGAAACTATCAAATTCAATCGATTTATATTCTCTTCTATTATTAGATCTAAAGCATTTTAGCTTCCTCTAAGTTTTTTATTTTTTATTTTTTATTTTTAATTCTTATTTTCTATGTTTTAAAGATAGAAAAAATCTAGATTTTTATTTTATCACCTTTCTTGAATATTCATTTACAGATGAAATAAAATACAATGCTTTAACTTTAGAAGCAACTGGTACAAGTTACCATACATCCAAATATATAATCTAATATACCTTCAATGAGTAATAATGTTGAAGCTCACATTATAATGCTTTCTAAACACACAATGTTCTTAAAAGTCTATCTTACAATCTTTTATATCCTTTAAGAGTTGGTGCTTATACAATTCCAAAAGGCTTCTTGCACTCATGTGTCCCAAATAAGCATGCCATAATTGAGTAGCACTAGAAGTGTTATTTTCTTGAGAAGATACAACAATTGATCTACATGTAATAATATCTCCTAGAAGCTCACATACAATCCTAAAGTCCATTTAAGCAATATTGGCTTATTTAGAAGACTGACCTCTATGTTTGTTTGAATCTTCTTTTTTATTCTTATACTCTCTTTTGTAGTATCTTAATTTATCATATTCAAAATACAAAACCTTTGACTTCTCAAATTTAGATTTGAATTTTGATCTAAATTTCTCTATATTCTATCTTTTGTATATAGGCATACCTCTTACAAACAAGACTTTTGATTGTGGTGTTTTACTACTAGATCTCTTTCTCATCTTGTTTGATAAGAGAGCTATATTGACTTTTCATTTATAATAATATAATAGAATAGAAAATATCTACTTTTAGAACTAGTTCATGCCTATTTACCATTATAGATTTGAGTGGTCTTAGTATTAGAATTGGTCACTACTAATAAAAATAAATTTAGTTATTTATATGCACTAATGATAAATTAATCATTTTAAAAAAAGTATTTGAAGATAAATTATAATATATACTTTTAAGGATAACATACTATAAATGATTAACTATATTATTAAAAATATTTTATTAAAATTAATGGAAAAATTCATAATATAATTTGTGTCTTGTATTTTGTACAAAAACTAAGAGTTTATTTTGCATTTAAGATATTATTATATTAAGAGAAGAAGTTAAGAGGCCACAAAAATTTAACCATTTGAATAGGTGAAATTAAAAAGTGTGACTTAGTTAGCTTTGTACTTAAAAAAATCAATCTAAAGGTTATAAAAAGTAATGATGATGTAGAATGCATTTTTTCCCTACATAGCATGAATAATGTTGTACTTTGTAATTTGCTGTCAGCCAAAAAAACTAGTAACATTGTTGTTTGAAGTGTACTTTTTCATCATTCACTTGTCATGAATAAAAACCTCTCAAAATTTTGTACATTTAAAATGTAATGAACTAACCCCTGCATACGATGTTGAGATACAATGTAACAATACAAATCAGAAATCAACATGCATAGAATTAGACCAACGCCACATCACCACAGTCCAGGATGACATCCAATGTAAACAAAGAGAGCCTTCGGTGAAGAATTCAATAAAACCAGGAACAAATGCTGTTGGATGTGCCGGAGGAAGTAAAAAAAAACACTGCACCCAAAAGAAGACGCAACAACTGCCAATGTCGACGTCAAGAGACAATTTTGAATGCAGGAGGATGTTGCAGAATGTGTCCGGCGAAGGAGATGCACAGCTATCGATATGGTTATCGCCGATTGTGAAGAACGACACAAAACTCGGCGGCCACATGTGTTGTGTGGCAAATCGGATTGTATAATTTGACACGGCCCAGTTGTAGGACTGGGTGCTGAAAGGCATCAGGATTTATCTCGTATCCAGTGAGAATCACAAGCATTTCGGCTAGAACCGCCGGATTGCGCAGTGGCAGATATCCGGGCATCCTCGGTCTCTCCGCCTCAATTTCTCCGTCGCTGGGGAATTGTGCGAAGTGACTGAAGCCACAGAAAGTTTGGTAGATGCACTATTGCCACTATTACTTGGGGCTTTCAATCTGGGTATTAATTGAACTCCGTAAGCTCCTTGCTCACATTACAGTGTTTTTTTTTAAAAAAACTGAATTATTATTATTATTATTTTTATTGCTCAGTTTGTGTTCTTTTTTCTGCAGATCTTGAGCTGGGATTTTCAGTGAACGATCGGTCGTATCTGGATTTGCATTTCTCGCTAGCTATGGCGTTATTGAGCTGTCGAGCTGTATCGCAGTCCATTAGCATCTCGCTGTCTTCGGTTTCAGTAGCAGCTTCGAAGCCAGCTTCGAGAACCAATGCAACGAAATGTGGGAGTGCCCGCTTGCAGAGTTCACTGGTCGCTGGATCGCAGCTTGGAACCTCTTCGATTCTTTCTGTGACTGCTAAGTCGAAGGTCTCCGTCAATAAGGTTTTGGGTGTTCGTGCTGCAGGTAAGACTTACTACCACCCGTGTCCCTGAATCGTGCCGAATTGGGGATTATTATTTTCGGCATTCTCGATGGATCATTGCTTGCATGAATCCCCGTGAAGTTGTGTCTTAAGCAAGGTATGTAAAAAGTATTGAATAATGTATCAGCTTCGTTTCATCATCTCGCCTCCACAATGTTCTGAATAACGTTCCATAATGTATTGTTTCGCAGTGGGAGCTGACAATGTGGTAACTGAGCCAGCGACATCTATCAAGTTTGCTTTATTGCTCACCGTCCCTGACAGCTCCAACACTCTGACGTTTCTCGGTGCAGGTGATTTGCTGTTAAATTATAGATCGTAAATTAGGGTTTCTGGAGGATTGCCCATTGAAGTATACAACATGCAGAGCCGCGCATCCGTTGACGTTGTATCTTTGTTTCACTATTTTCAAAGATCTGATACAATGATGGTGTGCAAACTCGATTTGGGTAGTTAAGATTGCTGATGTTGCCGATGTGCACCCAACTTCAAGAATTGAGAAGCAGCTTACTCATGATCACAACACGAGTCGCTTGCCCATCGACTTGAAGATTATTAGAAGTCTCTAAGTGCTTGAAGTGTGGTGTGTGTGTGCAATTTCTTTGGATGTCCTTCAAGCTACCCATACAAATGTTGACACCCTGTGACTCCGCGTTTGGTGTGCACAGGAGTGCGGGAAAAACAGATCGCCTTCTTAAAAGTGAAGGTGTATGCTGTTGGTGTCTATGCTCAACCTGATGTAGCAGCTTCTTTGGCTTCGTGGAAAGGAAAATCAGCAGCTGATCTTGTCAAAGATGAGGCGCTGTTCCAAGAACTGGCACAAGGTTGGCTTGTTGTTCCATAAGCATTGATTTTTCCCCTTCTTTTAATTGAAACATTCCATGAATAAAACTTCTTGATTTCTTCTTTTCTTATGTCATTTGTGCTAGTGAATGATTGATAAACTGCTGGTTGCTACAGCTCCAGTAGAGAAGGCTCTGCAGATTAAGCTGGCTCGAGATGTAGATGGCGCCACGTTCTGGGGAGCTTTGGACGAAGCATTGGTGCCGCGGCTGACAGCCTCTGGGGCTGGTGCAGACGGAGACGCTGCATTGGCAGAATTTGGAAATGTTTTTAAGAATCGTTCTTTGCAGAAGGGCTACGTCATTACCCTCACCTGGGTCCAACCCTCGACTCTCAGGGTAACAATATGTTCATTAATCCACCTGTTATCTTAATTTTGTTGTTTTCAGAGCTGTTTTCTATTCCGGAAAACTACATGTGAACTTCAAACCTTGTTTCTGTTTTTGTCTCACATGCACTGATCAGATATTGCTGCCTCCCGCAGATTGCTGTAGCCGAAAGCGAAGCAGCGAATTTGAAGACTGAAGCGTCGATAGAGTCTAAGGCATTATTGTCGGCACTCTATGATGTGTTTTTAGGGACGAGTGCTGTGTCTCCTTCCGCCAAAGCAGCAGTTGCTGAGGGCATCTCAAAGCTTCCGTAAGAATCTATGGATTCACTGGGAAGGCAGGTGAAGAGTTTGGAGTATTGTACGTTTTTGACCAGAGACTGAGAACTATCGTGTGATAACATTTAGTACTACTATTTCTTCCAGATACTTCGCTTGCAATAGCTCTGCAACGCTATTGTAGTTGCTACTTGTAGAGCAATGTATAGATAGCTTTTCAGCTTTTACATTTTGTTCATTTCCCTTCGTGATTGTCTTTCCTTAGACTTGCAGAGTTGTCTGGTTTCACATGTGATTTAACAAAACACAACTGCACAAATAATAATAATTTCGTGCATTCATGTTATAGTACAATAGCACATACGATAGACTGCTTTTTATCCTCTAGATCTGCCTTCATAACACACACGTCTCAGGGGAGTGAGATTTAGCGATACTTTATTTATCTTTTCTACTAATCCAGTAATCCCATCAAACCAAGTCTCTAAAGATACTTTAGGTCGGAATAGAACTTTCAATGGCCAGCATTAAAAGGTATGGTGATAACCTTTGGAAATGCACAACGTCATATGTGGCTAGTTTTGAATGATTACTTTTCTAAGCTTTTTATCACCATTCCTACAAATCAGCAATAATTTCCACGCCCTTGCTGGTAGTTGACGCATTCTTCTATAGGTCTATTTGATTTGTTTAAAGAAGCTCATGTGTCACCCAAGTAATACTTTAAGATGTCAACGTAATCTTTCATTTGAAACAAAATATTTGTTGTATGTTTTTACATTTATTTTGTAAGGAAACATGGAGTTAGAATTAGATATTGTAGGTCTGAGTGGTATACACTACCCACAAGTTACACATTGCAATTCTATTACCTACCTTCTTCTCTAATACAAAAGCATTTTCTTGTTTAATTTTCGTTATATATTTATTTTATTTTTCGTTACACACATGTAAGCAGCACATGTCCACTTGTATTAGAATTAGTGCAATGTATGCTTCAGTACGTTTTGGCTTGTACAATTGCAATGCAAGGTTTGAAGTAAATAAAATCTATATATATTGTAATTTTTTCCCATGTAAATTTTTATATTTATGTTCCTTACCAAAAACAAAATTTCAAAAATTCTATGTGGAATTTTAGATTCAGGTTCTTAAGAAACATATATTGAGTTTTTATTAGTTTATATTTTTAAAAAACTATCTACTCTATACAATTGGGGTATAGAGTAGTCTTCTAGTTGGTTGTGAAGAGACAAAGAAGTCTTCTAGTTGGTTGTGAAGAAAGGAATGCAAGGAATGCAGGGAACATGGGAACTTAGAAACAAGGGAGCATGGATGAACAAGGAAATGAATGAAAGTGCCAAAGATCATAGTGTCCAACTACACATATTTTTGTTAGTATATATACAAATATAAATATAAAGATGATTGCAATAAAAAACAATAAGATTATTTCCTTTCAAACTTTATCTTTTAATAATTCGTATTTATTTATTTATTCCTATTTAGTAAATACTTATCTATCAATGTTGTTTCTTTTGAGTTGACACCCATTAATTAGTTCTTGTTTTGTTTGTTTGTTTGTTTTTGTTTTTTTCTTTTTGTAATTTTTTTGATGTGATTTTTTATTAAATTTTACACAGTGGAACTACAAGCCTCCGATGAAGAAACATCAATAACACACAATCACATGGAATTAATTGGAAGAGAGAGATTGAATACAAAAGGGGAGACAAATGCCCACCAAGATATTAATCCCGCATCAAATCCCCATTCTATCAAAGTATCATTCCTGATTACTAATCAATATTTACTCTGCCATCATTTAAGTAGCATTATCATCAATTGATATTCATTTTCGCATTCATGTCCGCGTTGCTTTGCAGGTTCTCGATCATGCTCGTCCTCTCTAACAGTTCCGGCACGAGGAGCCCGGAAATCGACGTTTTAAAAGGACACCATTAGTGCAGTGAAGAGGGTAACAATGACGATGGGAAGGGACAGTTTGGCGTTCAGTCAAAGTCTCCGAAGATGAAGATGCTACAACGATGGAATCACATTTGGGGTGGGGGAAGTACTAAATGGGGTCTGGTTGCATTAAAGTGTGAGAGAGAGCTCATGAGCACTAGTGCAGCTACCGACTTGATTGCCTACCACGATGTGGCAGGAATCACCCTCAACCGATTCATGTTCAATGGCAAAACGCTGCTAAAACAATGCTTTTAAAGTGCAGTTCAGGGTACTTCGACTTCAAAAAGCAGTTTGTGAATCAGTTTGTGAATCAGTTTGTTTCACAACATCGCATACGGCTGGCTGGCTGGCTACCAGTGCGACGACTTTGGGTGATAACTGTCCCAAAGAGTGTTGAAAAATAGCCTTCGAGTCCATTTTCAACTCAGTCCAACATCATCCCTCATTGTGTGTATTTCGGTGGTAAGGATTGCACAACGAGGACCTTTCTGAGCAGAGCCATGAGTAGCCCTGCAGTGTACCTTAGAGAGCGAGAGAGAGCGAGAGACTCTGGCACCCTGATTTTTTGGTTCATAGTAAGATAGTGGTGGTCTCTGTCATTGACAAGGAATTCGTCATAGATTATTCAACGTGATGTTACTGCGTTACGGAGCTCTGGCGATTTTTACAGCTGTGAGCCGGTTCCCATAGCCTAGCTAACAACACCTTCCATGCCATCTTCACAAAGGAAATCAGCGAGGTTAAAATCTGCAAATTCATGAAGTAGACAAGCGTCGTTTATATATATATTTTAAATTTTCTGATGAACAAGTAACAAGGAGAGAGCTCCTGTAAGTGATTTTACCGCAGATGCTTGTTCATGCAGGTTCATGTTGCAAGATCATGAGAAGCCATGATCAGAGATGGTCACTAGAAATCACATCATTTTGATGTGTGAGAAATTTTCACCGCACTGCCACTGGTCATCAGAACCGAGTGCTAGGCTCAGTAATTCTACAATCACCCAAAATGAAGCAGATTATGAAATGATGTCCAAATTGTGGTGATTGCAATTTGATGGAGCTTGCAGGGAAGTGTAGGGTCAGGAGGAGCAAAGGAGGTCTTCTGAAGCTTCAGAGGAAGTTATATCATGGAAAAGTCAAAAATTGGGTAGCAATTTCAGTTGTAATCAGTTTGACCATATTAATAGACGGTTAGAAATTAGCTGTAAGTTGAACAATAAAAATTGTGGATGTTGAAACAGGAGATTCAATGTTGATATGTCACAAAATATAAACAACTTTATTTTATTGTGGAATTTGTAGGATTTGTATACACTACTGAGGTTCTAAAGAATAAAAACAGAAAAGATTAAACTGTATATGTAGTAATGTAGTTAAAATATTGAGTACGGATAATTTTCACCAAACCAAAAAAATTATTGTGATTTTAATTATGAATATTTTAAAAATTATGAAATATCTTCATTGACAATAATAATATTATAAAATATTGGCTATGTAAAAAAATGATAAATATTTCAAAAGGTCTTGTTATGGAAAATAATCAATCTACAAATAAAAATGATTATATGTGAACTTTATAAAACTGTATTTAATGTTGAGAATAAAGTGTATTAAAAATATGAAGACAATTATCTCAAAACAAGCAATTAGAAGATTTTGGAAATAAAAGGGCCAAGCTCTAAACAAAAAATAATTTTTCATACGTTATACAATATTCTACTTTATCTTCTGAAAGATAATAGTTTTGAAAATACTTCTGCGTATCTTACAGAAAAAAAATAACATTCCTGCAACAAAAGAAAGTACTGCAAGCCAGGTATTATACAACAAATCACACACAGGAACTTAAAAAACACAATCATTCAGGGTTCCAAAATCTTAACCACTTCGAAACTACCACACCAGCTTTACGGTTTCACAACACGAGCTTTGTCTACAACGTAACAACAACACGATTGTTTATGGCAATGCAAGGACAGAAACATCAACAACAACAAGCGTGGAAAGCAAAGCAAAGCAAAGCAAAGAGTAGTAAGAACAACAACAGCAGGGCTGCAATAGAACGAAGGTGAATGAAGATGAGGAGGAGAAGGAGTAGGAATGAGACAAAGCAAAGCAAAGCAAAGCAGGCTGCGAGTGACGCACCGCACCATCATCAACATCATCAACATCAAGTGGTGTGTGTCGTGGGAGGGGTGCCAGAATGAATGAGCCCAGCTCAGCTCAACTCAACTCAGATCAGCTGGGTGAGAAGGAATGGAAGGGGAAGGGAAGGGAAGGGAAGGGAATACCATCTCTCGATATCGATCTCAATCTCAGTACTCATTGTCGATCCTTCTCATGACTAAGACATGATGTCAAGTCACTGCTGTGCCGCAGGAAGGGCACAGCACCACCACTCACAATGGTTGCGTGGACTACACAGTGGGTTTTGTCTCATCTCAGGTTGCGTGCACTATAGCCTGCCTTGTTTTTATCTCCAATCTCCCTCCTGTCAGCCCCGTGCGGACGCGGCTGATGTTGGCAAGCTGTGGCACTGAGGGTTAAATGAACTGGGCGTTGGTGAAAATGTGAGCCTTTTCGCATGAGTTGGTGCAGCAGCAGCAGGAGAGAAGGGGTGGTCGGGTAACTCATCATGTGTTGATTCTAGCATCAGTAAAGTGCGGGAACTTGTCGAAGGAATCATGAGATCCGTGACACTGGTCAAGGGGAGCAGCTGAAGCTTACCACATCCACCCTGTCATCAGCCTTGGGTAGTTGTCCTCTACTTCTACCCCAATTGGCGCTGTGTAGATTTATTCTTGAGCGCTCCCTTCCTTCCTGCCTGAACTCCCTCACAGTGTTTTTTTGCACTCCCGGGTTGCTTGCAGTCGAGAGATGGTTGCTTTGGGGAAATAAAAGCTGCGGCGTTTGGGGTCGAAGTTGGATCTTTTTCCTCTGAGGATCGTCGAATCTGGACCTAAGCTGCAGCGAGTGCTGTGTTGACAGAAGCCCAGCGATGAAGCCTGGAGGTAGTAGTGCGAGTTTGTGGTTTGACTTGAGAAGGGATTGAGCTAAGAAGAAGATTTGCAATGGTTCTGGCAAAGCTGTTGGTGCACCGTCTTCAGATTACAGTAGTGTTGCATTGCACGCCTCTTGTCGTGAGACTGAGTTCAGTGTAATACATTTATCATGGCGCGGCTGTGGGGCTCAATTTTTATCTTGGTGTTCTTCTCCTTGGTTTCTTCATTGGAGCTAGTCAGCTCCGCATCAGAAGTTACGTCAAGTCGTTCCAAGGCGATTGCCAGTTTCCAAAGTTGGGTAGACAGAGTTGGCGCAAACCATTCTGCTTTCGAAAACACGGCGAAGTCCTCAGGCAGTACTGGAGACTTGTCCCGCAAGGTCGCCGAGGGGGTGATTGTAGTTGATCAGAGTGGCGCCGGACATTATAAGACCATCAATGAAGCAATCAATGCAGTCCCTCTTCACAACAAATATGCGGTCACCATCAAAGTGAACCCTGGAATATACATGTAAGGAGCTCAATATTCTAATGCTTCAGTGTACACTTTTTTTCTTTTCTTTGCGGCCATCAGCAGAAATTTTTCTATTTCTTTTTTCAGTTCATCCGTAGGCATTTGCGTAACTGGTTGCTACTCTGACTGTTTAAATAGAGATACACGATCCTTTTGAGCTTGCAACATGGGCATATGAATCAAGTGTGGTGACTGAGCATTGCAGTGAAAGGGTAATGGTACCCAAGAGCAAGTGGCGCATTACTTTGCAAGGATCTGGCCGAGATGTGACCAAAATCACGTCGAGAAATGCTGCAGGCGATACAGGGACAACGTACACAACCTCAACCTTCGGCGTTAGCGCTCCTTACTTCACAGCGAGAAACATCACATTTGAGGTAAGACGGAGTGTTATGGGCGCCTCAAAAGGCCAAGCCGTGTATCAACCTTCCTACAGAAGCTTCTAACTGCCAGCATAGGCCACATTTATCAATTGTTCACCTGAATCTCTGTTGTTTGCTGCGGTTGCTACCTCAGTGATGGTACGCCAGTTTTTCTTGTTTGAGCTTGCAGTTAGCGCGGACCACCATGTCTTTGTCTCCTTACATTCTAACCACTCAATCGTGATAGAACTCGTCACCTCTTCAAATCGGAGGAGCTCAGCAACAAGCGGTCGCGTTGCGAACAACGGGCGATTTTAATGCCTTCTACGGATGTGCTTTCCTTGGGCAGCAGGACACTCTCTACGACGACAGAGGCCGCCATTACTTCAAAGAATCTCTTATTGTGGGCTCTGTAGATTTCATTTTCGGCGACGGGAAATCATTGTATCAGGTAATCAGCTCTCATCAACATCATCACCAGGTTCTCTCATTTTGAATCTTAGCTTGTCCCTGATGCAATCTTCAGACAAACTGAGAAAATTGGGACAATTTCCGAGGAAGAACACAGCCAAAGTCAATCGTTGAGTCGAATTTCCTAACTGCTTTAATTCGATCTCAATGACCTGCAGAACTGCGAGTTGAGAGTGCTACCCTCATCTGGTGGATCTCTAACAGCCCAAAAGAGGTTGAGCTTCAGTGAGGATACTGGCTATTCTTTTGTGAACTGCAAAATTACGGGCTCCGGCCCTTCTACAGTGTACTTGGGACGGGCATGGGGACCTTATTCTAGAGTGGTATTCGCTTACTCCGAGTTCGCCGACATCATCAACCCTGTAGGCTGGTACAATTGGGCTGATCCCGCCAGGGAACGGTGAGTATGTCTCTGCATCAGTCTTTTTTTTTCTTTTTTTTTTCTTTTTTTTTTCTTTCTTTTGCCATACTTTGTCAGTTCCGTGACATCCTGCACCGAGGCTCGTTTTTACCGTTTTCTTGTTGGAAACAAATCTCAATTGTTGAAGATGATTTTCTTTTGTACAGCACCGTGTTTTACGGGCAATACAAGTGCTTCGGACCTGGCGCAAACGAAGCAAGCAGAGTTGGGTGGTCTGTAGAACTCACCGACGCTCAGGCCGCACCCTTCATGACCCTTGGGTACATCGATGGTGGATTGTGGGTGACAGAAGAATGAAGTTGAGAGTGAGGTTAAAAATGGATCCGAATACGGAGTTGTAAACCGTGTTATAATTTGCTGTCATGGTCAGAGGATTGAGGAAAACAGCATTAATTGTGAACATGAACGACAGTAAGAATGGTGCTCTTGTGAAGGTACTCTTGAAATTTCATTAAGCACTCATTTCCAAAATGTGGTACCTGAAAGAGTACTGTACTGAACTCTGCGTCAGAAATGAGATATATGATGCTTCTCTCACTCTCCGGAGCTGTAAGATGAGTCAAATGCTTCAATAATTTCCCAAGATATTCATTTCGAGGTGTGTAAATCACTTTTTTTTCAGATTTGTTAGAGCATGGTTCGAGCAACGATCAATCCAAGTTCCAAGCAATTGATTTGTAGGAGTTACTGCAATGAGACTGCAGCATTTAGCTTGCAGCCGGCAAATCCTAAACCTAATTCTCCCCAACTTTACACAACCCCCACAAAACCATCTCTACAATTCACCCCAGCTTAGCGAGAAATCAAAACATTGTCAAGAGCGCTGAAATTCAGCGTCACAACCAGCGAAATTCCTTCAGCCCAGAATGAAACGGCTACTGCACAAAGTTTGCCGCCTTCTAGTTGCCAAACAATGTAGAAAATCATTGAGAAATAGAAAACAATGGTCACTTATAAAATGTGACCGCATCGCCACCGACGACTCACAGCATTTTCAAACAGAGGGACGAGAAAAAAATCTCATCCATACCAAATAGGATAATTCATACCCAAGTCAACCAGGATGCCACGAACATTGCAACTGTCAACAATAAAGTCCCCCATGAAATCATGCCTTGTACCGATGTGAAGGCTTTCAACAATTCTTACCAAGGTAGACACCCACATGACCAATCCCTACGAACAATCTGGTGAGCTATCTATAAAAAGAGTGTGCAGAGTGATACAGCTAGAAATAGTGCAAAAGCTGCACCAGCTCAAAAATCTACGTTACAACATGCACAAATAGCGAGGATTGACGAATACGGCAGTGGTCTCACCGTATGGGGTTCTGTGTGTGGCCTTGCACCCGGGATTTTGTGGGTTGCGATCCACCATGTCGGCTTAACAACGCACATGCAAACACCCCAGCTCTCGTCCTTAGGCGGCTGAACCAAACCAACATCCTAGAACATCACCGACTCCTGGCTCTTGTCGTGGTCATCGATGCAGGGAAGTACTCCCAAGACTAGAAGCGGACTGCTCCTTTGTTGTCACCAGCGATCGTTCAACACGTCTTCACTACGCAGGAAGACCTGCACAACTTCCTGGTGGCAACTGCAAACTGGAGTTGTCGACATCGATCTGTAAGCATGACAGGAGCAAAATTTGGTTGCAAAGATTTGCCAAAACTCCATAACGCACGGTAAAACAGTGAGAAACGATTCTGGATCAAAGACAGACTTCCTACTTGCTGTTACATGAAGCCAGTGTTCAGCAATGGCGTGAAGTTCAACAGTGTGAGCTAGATCAGTGCAGCAACGAAATGGGTACATTGTGAGGTTGCTCAAAACATGCTCCCACACATCACAGATTCATGGTGGCATGTCGACGCTGTGGCGATGGAGCTCCATCTGCAACGCCGTGCGAGGGTTGTTGGGACCATGTCGAGAACTTGGTGGAGCTATAGAAAAACTTGCATGTTTTCTACGACTTCACTGCAACAAAAACAACAAATCCATGACAATGGCTCATATTTACATGCAATGAAACATCTACAATGAACAAGCACTGATTGAGTATGTTGCAATGAATATGTGTGTCAGAATGGATGTGTTAATTTACAACCACATCCTAAGTCGTGAAACCAAAACTAAAACTATTTAAATGTGTCGATTTTTTAAATCTTTATTTGCAAAGTTCAAATGAAGTCAACCTCTACCTTAGATCAACATAAAAACTTAATAAAACATTTCTAGAGGCAAATGGGTTAATTAAAAAATATTTATATATTTATATTTATTAAAAAACTTTAGATTTCAAAATATTATCATTATACTCTTTATAAATTAATAAAACAAATATATATAATTACACAATTATATGTATATATATATATGTATATATTTATTTATTTTGAAAAAGAAAGAACAAAAAAGAGCTATTAAAGCCACACCCTAACATTATTAAAGCTACATCCATGTTACCATTTGATTAACTTTGTCTATCTATGAACTCCATGTGTCAAGGACAAGAACTCGATGAAAAAACAATTCAGACAAGTGAGCCTTCACTCAAAGAAAGGTAACAAAATATAAATAAACAAGTATGTATATTGAAAGAAAAACTGGAATGGCTATTGCCAAAAGACAAAGAAACTAGAGACCCTTGAAACTAGATTGGAAACAAGAAAGGAGTTGATAAGAGTGAAGAAGTCTTCACTCTTGTCTCTATATATACTATCTAACTAGGAGCTACGTGGCGACGTTCTATAGGACCTCCAATATGTGTTGACTTTGTAGAACACATGCCTTGACTTACAAGGCAAGTTTTTTTACGTGTGGGCCACATAGTTAGCTTGATCTTCAAGCTAACAATATGTGTGGCACATGGCCAACTTATTGACCACGTTTCTAATTCAAAAAGTCAATTAAAGACACTTATGAAGTCAAAGCAATGTCTATGAAGCTTCTACGAAGCTTTCATATTAAATACTATAGAATTAATTTACTTTTACCTACTTTTACTTACTTCTACCCATTTGTATATGTAATTACTAGCTTACATGATTATGTCCGTGACATTACCCCCCCTTCTAAGGATGAGTTCTACGAGGAGCGGTCATCATATGTTGAGAAAATCTATGATGTGACGAATTGTATTCGCCACATACTCTGATCTTTGTTCTCTTCGAAGATGATTGATAGGGCCTCTCAATCATCGGTAGTGTCTCCAAATAGGGCGGGAAGACCACCCAGTTATTTGATCATTGTTGAGGCCTTCGTAACTTCCTTCGAATAGAATATTTGGAACACCATCAGGAGTTGTTCTTACTTCTAGCACAATCACCAAATATCGGGAGTCCCTTCCCAAATCATGATACCAAACGCATTGTATCTCGCCATCTATTTGAGGAAGAACATGTCATTCTTGAAGATCTTCATCTCGATTGCATCGTCTTGAAGGTTGTGACAATCGTAATGTCTCATCCGGCAGGTCAGCAAATGAAGGCTCTTGAGTCGAATCCACTGGTTGTTGGATCTCCATCTCCTGAGCGTCACTACTACAAAGAAGCTACGAACAAGGATTGAAAGTAGAATGTTATCTTGCCTAGATGTTGTTTCTTTTATAAAGAAGGTTTTCATCTTGATTTTCATGGATGTCGTCGATGAAAAGCCTCCACCACCTTTGCTGTATTTGTAAGATTCTTTATTGGCTCCCACGTGTGTTCACTAATATCATATCTATGCTAATGGACAAGATATTCCAATTTATTTCGGCACCAACTTGAATCTAAGACTTCTTCAACTTCAAACTCTTCATTATTGTCCACTTCTATAGGAGGAGGTGGAGCTTGTCGTCTTCTTGGTATGTCCACTGTCTTGTATGGTTCAAGAAGAGATACGTGAAATACTGGATGGATTTTCATTGACTCTGGTAGATGTAAACGATATGCAACTGGATTGATTTGTACAAAAATAGAAAATGGTCCTAGCCTTCAATAGTCCAACTTGTCACAAGGATGAGTGGTCTTGATATTGCGATGAAGTAGCCATACCTTATCACCCCAGACAAATGATGGTTGTTCCTTTCGATAGACATCCACATTGACCTTTTGTTGTTCTTGAGCCTCTTTTAACTGTGCCTTCATCGTTGCATGTAGCTCTGGTAAATAAATTGCTAAATCTTTCGCAGTAGGATTATCAACTTTTGAAAAGTCAAAAGTATCAAGTCGTGGATGATAACCATAATTAACAAAGAAAGGTGTTTGTTTTGTAGAAGAATGTACCGTGTTATTGTAAGCAAACTCTGCCAATGGCAAAAGAGTTGTCCAATCATCTTGTTGGTAATTAATGATACATCATAAATATTGCTCCAAAACTTAATTAACACGCTCTGTTTGTCCATCAGTTTGAGGATGGAATGCCGAAGATAGTTTTATATCTACTTTAAGAATCTTGAAAAGAGTCCACCAAAATCTTGATACAAATTGAGTTCCCCTATCTGATATAATATCCTTGGGTAATCCATGATAGCGATAGATATAGTCAAGAAAGAGTTTAGCTGTTTCTATACCTGTGATAGATTTTGTACACGGTACAAAATGTGCCATCTTAGTAAAACGATCTACTATCACTAATATAGAGTCATAAGAACCTGAGATTGGAAGATCCGTGATGAAGTCCATAGAAACAGAAGACCATGGTTGTTTTGGAATGAGTAATGGCTGAAGAAGTCCAAAAGGTCGATGACGAGGAGTTTTTGATCTTGAACAAACATCACATGATTGTACAAAATCTTTAACTGCCTTCTACATTTGAGGCCACCAAAAATCCCTAGATATCAGCTCCAAAGTCTTATTATATCCAAAATGTCTTGTTGCTGGGAAGTCGTGACGAGCTTGAAGAACACTTAAACATGCTTCTCCTTCTGAAACATATAGGCGTCCTTCGAAATAGAGTAGGTTGTTCTTGAATTCAAATTTAGAGGGATCATGAGATTTAGAAGAATTATTCTTGATATCATGAACAAGAGGATCTGAAGACATACTTAACTGAAGTTGCTTATAAAAAGTTAAATCAACAGTCAATGTTGATTTTATTGCTCGAAGATGAAATTACTCTAGCTTCAAGAGAACCGTTCTTTGTTGCTCAAAAGCTACATCTCCTTCTTTTGGTGTAAGATAAGAACGTCTAGATAGGGCATCGGACAAACCTTGTTGTTTTTCTGACTGATAAGTAATGATGAACTCGAATTTTGATAAAGACATGCTCTAACGAGCTTGGCGATGATTTAATACGCGTGCTGATATAAAATATTCGAGGTTCTTGTGATTTGTATATACGGTGACTGGACTGGAAGCGCCTTCTAGATAATGACGCCATTCTTGAAAAGAATCCACAATTACAAGAAGTTCTTTGTCGTGGATCTCATAATTGATTTCTGCTGCTGAGAATTTTCTTGAATGAAAGGCTACTGAATGAAGTTTATCATCTGTTCCCATTTGTGATAAAACCGCACCCAAAGCAAAGTCCGATACATCTGTTTCGATAAAGAATGCTTTGCAAAAATCAACACCACACAAGATTGGTGCAGAAACAAACGCTGTCTTCAAAG